ATGCCAATTAGAGAGCGCAAATACTTAGCTACACAAACTAAGCAATGTGACTAATAAGGTTACACATACCAAATTAGCCACGCAAGGGAGCTACTTCTATGCTACACAAGCAAGAAGGTAACTAGTGAGCTACACAAGCTAACTAATTACAAGAGCAACTACACAAAAACAATATATATAAAATATAAATACAAGCTTGTGTAACGAGGATGCAAACCAACGGGAATACAAGGATAACACAATGATTTTTATCCCGAGGTTCACATGCTTGCCATCACGCTAGTCCTCGTTGAGATAAGCTCCAAGGTTGCCGCCGGTCCTCTTGCTAGTGGTGACCTGCAAGTCACACTCTCCCACGTGGAGTGCTTACCACAAGCTCTAGCACTTGACCCGGCCAAACCACTTGTCACCCTTCGTGTCTCGCTCTACTAGAGTTGCTCTTCGCGGCTCCCGCGAGGCTAGCACAATACCCCTCACAAAGCTCTTCTTTGGAGCACCGCACAAGCTTCTTGCGGGCTTCAACGGAGACTACCACCAAGCCGTCTAGGAGGTGGAAACCTCCAAGAGTAACAAGCACCACCGGCTTGCAACTCGATCACCTAGTGCCACTCGATGTAACCTCACGATGCAATCGCACTAAAATCGCTCTCTCACACAATCGGATGATCACTATCAAGCATATGTGAGATGGAGGGCTCCTAAGCACTCTCAAGGATGGACACAAAGTCCCCCAAGGTGCTGTACATCATCCATGGCTGAGACCCCCTTCTATTTATAGCCCCACGGGCTAAACTAGCCGTTACCCCTTCACTGGGCAAAACTCGGGGTGACCGGACGCGCCGGTCGGATCGACCGGACGCACCCGGCTAGCATCCGGTCAACAGATGCATGCCACGCATTGTCTCTGTTCAACCTCAGTCGCTTGATCTCAATGGTTGGCTGTCGCATGCCAACGGTTAAGTGATGACCGGACACACCTCTGCGCCAAGACCGGACACGCCACTGCCTAAGTCCGGTCGTTTCCAGAGAGCTCCCCGAGCCTCTGTTTTACGATCGGACGTGTTCACTCCTGCACGACCGGACATAGACTAGCCAGAGTCTGGTCATTTCTAGAGAGCTCCCTGAGCCTCTGTTTTGCGACCGGACACATTAGGTTGGTCGCGATCGGATGCAACACCTGAGTCCGGTCCTTCACCGCCTGCCACGTGTCACTGCTGCTCCTCGCGCCAAGACGTCAGTGTACGTCACAACCGATCGGATGCAGCCTCAGCGCGTCAGGTCACCTCTTTGTGCCAGCGTCCGGTCACATGACCGAAACCACGCGCTCAACTGCTGCCACTGACCGGACGCGTCGGTCCTGCCGAGGTCAGCGTTCGGTCACTCACAGTGACCCCTTCTCACCTCTGTTTCATCGCCGAGTTGATCCACATTAACTCCAACTTCTTCTCCTTTGTAAATGTGCTAACACCATCAAGTGTACACCACCATGTGTATGTGTGTTAGCATTTCCACAATTATTTTCCAAAGGATTAGCTACTCAACTTGCCACGCCACTCGATCCTAGCGATGATGCAATGTTAGATCACTCGAGTGGAACTAGATGACCGATATGCAAACAAGTTTGCCCCTCTTGATAGTACAACCATCTATCCTAAACCTGGTCATCAACTTCTCTACACACCTATGACCGGTGAAATGAAATACCCTAGGTTATACCTTTGCCTTGCGCATTCCATTCCATCTCCTCCATTGTTGAAGCAACACATGCAACAACCAATCACCAAATGATATGATCCACTTCATATCATCACGTGACCGTATTGGTTCATCGATCTTGACTTCACTTGCTTTTCACCGTTGCCTTCGTCCATCAGTGCCAAGTCTTGCTCAAGCTTCACCGCCACGCGGTCCATCACTCCAAAGCCTCCGACTTACCCTTCACGCTTGCAACCGGTCCAACAAGCCAAGTCATGTCTTGATCTTCTCCACCTTGATCACATGACTGAATGTCACGTCTCATGTGCAATGAGCTCCTTCATCATCATATGTGTGAGCTTTGCAACATCTTTGAGCCATCATCACCGTCATGGCATATGTTGCTCACACAAATATACATGTGGACTAATCGCCTCTTTATCTCATTTAAACACATTAGTCCACCTAAGATTGTTACTCAATTACCAAAACCAAACAATGACCTTTCAATAACCCAAAATACATGGTCGAATATCTCAAGGGTACTATAGGAACATTGCAAAATACACCATAAATGGATATGAATACTATGAGAAACAATATAGAGTACTTAATGGAACATTTCAAGATCACTATAAGAACAACATAGAACATCTCATGCAGAAAAAATAAAAATAAAAATAAAAATGATCAAGAAAATAATTAATTAGACTAAAATAAAAAATAAAAAGGGAAATTAAAATTATAACAATAAAAAGGAAAATCAATGTAATAGAGGGAAATATTAAAAAAATAAAAGAGAGAGATAGATGAAGTGAAGAAACATGTGCTCATATAAATGACATATGAGCTACACTGGAATGCATGGGCAAAATAAAGTAACAAGGCAGTGGAAAGAGAACATGGCCCAACAACAACCCACTAAAGAAAAGGAAAAAGTCCACACTACATCCCTCAACTTTTGTGATAGTCTGCTTTTTCTCTCTGAACTCTAAAACCGGGCAAACCACCTTCCTGAATTTTTAAAACCGTTCGTTTTACATCCCTGACCGGTTACAAGCGGTTTTCAAATGCGGTTTTGTCTTTTTCTTTTTTATTTATTTTGACTGAATCTTTGAAAAATCATAGTAAATCACACAAAAATCATAAAATGGAAAATCTATTTTTTTGGACTCCACATGAGTATATCTACACAGTAAACATATAATATGGTATGATTTAGTACAATTTTTTTTATGTAGCTTTAGATCTATGTTTTTCTGTAATTAATTCATAGCTGCAGTTTCTATGGTCCAATTGTGGTGAAATTTTTATGTTAGGCTAATTATTGTATGCTTGAACTGTAGTAAAAAAATCATACTCATTAGATTATGTATAACTTAGTTATAAATCTATAACTAAGTTATACATGATCTCATAACTAAGTTATACATGATCCAATAAATATAAATTTTTTACTACAGTTCAAGCATACAATAATTGTCCCATCATAAAAATTTCACCATAATTGGACCGAAAACTGCAGCTATCAATTAATTATAGAAAAGTATAGATTTAAAGCTACTGCAAAAAATTTGTAGTAAAGCATATTATATTATATGTTTACTGTATAGATCTACTCATGTGGAGTTCAGCAAAATTAGATTTTCTATTTTATGATTTTTCTGTGATTTACTATGATTTTTCAAAGATTTAGCCGAAATAAATAAAAAACAAAAAAACAAAACCGTTTTTGAAAACCGTTTATAACTGGCCAGGGGTTAAAATGAATGGCTTTAAAAGTTCAGGAAGGTTGTTTACCCGGTTTTAGAGTTCAGAGAGGAAAAACAAACTTTGAAGAAAGTTAAAAGGAGTTAACGTGGATTTTTTCCTACGGAAAAACAATCAGGAGGAAAAACAATCAGGCGGAGACCACAGAAAACAAAAGGCGTAGGCCAAATCTGCGCTGTGTAGGGAAAAAAAAACAGGGTCCAGGCTCCTCAGGCCCTACAGCGTATGTACTTGTGCTGCTGCGCGAGGCTTCCAGATGGGCCCAACCCAACATTGTTCTCTTTGTTGCTGATATCTTTCGCCCGCAAGACTCCAGCTCAAATCAAGAACGACTTTTAAAGGTTTCAACTGGCAAAAAAAACTTTAATTGAAAAATGACTCAACATGTTAAGTTGAAGACGTTAGCTTATTGAAATGTTCAACATTGTTTTCCCCTCAGGCATGCAACTGCATAATAATCAGCTAGAAATCTGTGATCCAGATGTGACGAGATACCCGGCAGAGAACAACAGTGAGAAGAGAACATGTTGTAGCTTATCAGGTGCATGGACCATGGAAAGCCTGTCTTGCCAGGTAATCAGCCCAAGAAGCAGGCCTTTCTCCCTTGGCAGCATCCGCCTCTATGGATTCTCGCCAAATTCATGGGCATGGGGACCCAAACAACATGCCAGCCGATATCAAATTCAGGATGTGAAAGATTCCTGGGTGGAATCCTGGTTAACCGAACAAGCCCTAATGCTGCAACCTGGATTATATTTTGGAATTTATTATGCTAACAAGGGCCTCCAGGTCTCTCCCAGGTTTCAAGCTTAAACTACAGATACACCTGGGACCCTGGGTCTGGGTGTAACAAAAGATGCCACCCATTTCGAATAGAAAGAAAACTTAGACCTGATGAATGTCCAATCCAGAGAACCAGACAAGTGCTGCTCATTACAAATTCTTCCCCTTAGCTCATGTTGTCAGTTTAGTACAATATACGCCTACCTGGTTGGCTGAGAAATAATTCTCTTCGTTCCGTTCAGATTGTCTGACAGTTCAGGACGACAATGTGGTGCTGAATGACAACAGCATGTACTATCCTCGCTGATTCATGGAGCAGTGCCTTCTCATAAACAAAACCACATCGGAACATTGCTTTCAGCCTAAGTTTTAGATCAGCGAACGGGGTCATAAGAGAAAAAAAGATTTGTGGAACAGTGTTCTCCTGTAGTACCTTAAAAGTCAAAGCCACGTGGGTGATGAGACTTGGAATTTCTTACTTTTCCTCAAGGAATAGGAAATTGCTGACACTATCCAAGCATCTATGCTGCAAAAAGGTTTGTCATGCACTAGTATGGGTGGGGATTTTTTGCTTAATTTTCGACTGTTACCTACAGAACAGCAAATTCTACGGTCTGTAGAGCATATTCAGAAGTACTACAGTAACAACTATGTGAACATAAATACAAGAGATGAAGATGCTCGAGACTTTTTTTCAGCACAAAATAATTTTAAGAGCAGTTCTCATTTCTCATACACAGAGCAATTGCTACCTACAGATTTGGTATTGTCATTGGCATTTCTGGTGACGGAGAACAAATTCCGAGATCATCCGCGGCTTCTTCTACTAGTTCCTCCAGCACCTTTCCTGCAATCTGCTCCGTGATCTCATCCACTTCCCATCTCATCATAGACTTCACCCAACCTCTTCCTTCCACCTCCTGCTGCATAATTCTTTCCAGTATTGTTCCAACATCGTCGTTCTCATTTATTGCAAACTTTCCTAATCCATAGAGCCAATCCCTCATATGCTGTGGTACTTCTTCCACCAAAGATTGAGAAAGGGTCTCCTTCCAGGCCATTGAGCGCGCTTGCCCTTGCCTCCAGGGATAGGCGCATAGTACGGTGTCATGGCCAATCTCAACTAGTGCCATATTCACGTAATCAAAAAGAAGCTTTTGGTTCGACCTTCGTTCCCTTGACTTAGCAGCCTCCTCCTTCCGGTCCAATAACTTGTCACACAATGCAGGGTCTAGAGGGCAATCAGGCAAGTACCAGCCTGTGAAGGCCATACCCAACTGCAGATCGCCTAACCCAGCAGATGATACAATCTTTTGTACAAAGGCAACACATTCAAGTTCATCATTGTCCACGCTCGAGAGAGGGGTTAAGTTTGTCAAATCAAGTAAAGGTGAAGGTGAACTCATATCCTCCCATGATAATGAGCGTGTGACAGATTCAATTGCATCAGATCGTAAGGCAATTCCTAAGATATGATAAAGAGGTAGTTAGTATAAAAACAAGGAAGCAATAGTAAACGCACAAGTCAAAAGAGGGAGCAAGACTTACTCTCATTGCTACAAGGAATGCTTCTTGATGATTCCGATCCATTAATGTTGCTATCTTCAAATGATACATCAAGAACTGAAGTAGGACTAGGCTTATCACAGCTACCATTCAGACCACCTGATCTAAATCCATCAAGATGTTCACTTGGACAGGCGGAAGAAATAGGTACTTCAATAGAAACAATATCCTGCAGCATGTCTCATCGTCAGTTTACTGAGGATAACAAAAGTAGAGAACAAAAACGAAACGTATTGAGGAAAAAAATAGTTAAGAGGCCCTAAACTGGTTGTCACAGAAAATTATAGCAGAAATGATCAAAGCAACAAGAAAAAAGAACAGTAAGGGCATAGTGAAATAATTTGAGTTTAAGTGCCTACTTTTGAAGAACATATTGTTTGAGTAGTAGAACTATCATCTTTGTCCTCACAAAATGGCATAGAACCAATATTATGACCACCCTGTGGTTTCATGCTGCCAAAACAAGTGACTTCAACTTTCCCATCAGAGCTAGAAGATACGATGATTTTCTCTTTTGACTGCCTTTTACTTTTAGGGAAGAAAAAACTCGAAACTATCCCTTTGAATGATGACTTTGCTTTATCTGACCTTGTAGCCAAGTTTGGTGTTTTACAGCCTTCACAATTGGATGATGGGGCATTTGGTGCTATGTTATCAAACATGGACGATGACACTGGGACAGATTTTGATCTTGCTAAAGTCTTCGGAGAGCTCTGCCCATCTCCTTCATTCTCTCTAAGAGCAGTTATACACGTAGCTTGCAGGGTCATCTCATTCTCTGCATCACATGGCCGACCACTTGAAACAGAACACATACCACCAACGTCTTTCTTGACTCCTCGAAGGGAAAGCATTTCTCCCAAAGTGCTTGAGCTTCTTGGTAATTGCATCTTTTCTTGGTTGATCTCATTATATGCTACTGACGCCCATCTTTCTGAAAGCCGTTTTTTAGCTTCCCTGATCACAGATGACTCAGGCGACCGTGATGTTCTGCTAAAAGTTGAGCCTGAGTAAGGACTGTTGTATCTTTTGAAGTGATCCCATGAATGCCGCGATACTGGGCTAACGATCTCCGAGTCACTTAGGTTACCATCTTCTTCATCAATGTAATCAACTTCTGATCTGCTGAAAGAGCTTTCATCTCCACCATAGCCATTTGAGTATACAGAAGATAATAAAGACTCATCCCGCCGATGTAGACCTTCTGGTGGGTAATTATCATCTTCTAAACCTCCATAAAAATCTATCTGCTCAGTCAACCGAGCTGGGGTTGCTTGGGGTGTTAGCCTGGCCATTGTTCTACTAGGCTTGCCAGGACTAGGCTTCAGGACCACTATCCTAGTTGGCTGGGATAAGGTAACTTCTGCTGAATGAGATCTCCGGTGTGTCCTCCGCATCACATGTTCATTTTCTTCATTTATTCTGTGTGTTCTGATTTCCCTTCTGCATTCACTCTCAACAAATTTAGTTGGTTTCAACACAGTAATACACTTTGTCTGAGGTGGTGATGGGCTTCTGTGAAGTCCAGGTAGCTGCTTTGAGAAAGTAGAGTTTGGTTCCTCAAGAAACTTAAGAAACAAATCTCTATTAGAACTTAGAACCTCAACAGCTTCTTGAAACTCCTTTGAATGGAGGAGTTTCTCATTTGTAGCAAGACGCTTTGCTTCCTTGAACTTCTGACGAACAATTTCCATCCGTATGTCCCTCTTGCTCCTGGAAGACATTTCCCTAGGAAAAGTTTGGTCCTGAAGATGGTATGTTCTCAATGGTTCTTCACTGACTTCATAAACATCCTTAAATTCAACTGTTTCTTTGGGTCCTATGGGTTTGTCGCATGTTGTCATACTGGAATGGTACTGCTCTTGATGTTGATGGAGATTGTTTGTTTCGATCAAATTCCCATTTAAGTGTCTTTTCTTCACATTTCTTTTAGCAGAATGTAATGCTGGTTCTTGACCAGGTAGATCTTCTTCAAGTCCCATTAATCTGGCAACCACACTTGGTGACTTCTTCTTTGACTCCAATTCCTTGGACATCTCCTTTTCTAATGCCACATTCAATGGAGATGCATTTGATTTATTTCTTGATGAGCTCCAGTTACTAGCTCCCTGCAGCAATATTCTTATTATTAGAACACAAAAAATGTATCACTTCAATGAAATTTAGTAGGTTCTCGCCTACTGCATTATATTTAATAGAAAAATCACCTAAAGAAAATGGTAGTATAAATCAGGACAGACATGACATGTTACTTACTACTTTATCATTGGCATAAACTTTAGCAGAATCAACTGTTCTCTTGCCAACTTGCTTGTTTCTACATGCTGGAGAACCTGAAATATCCAAGCAGAACGAACAGCAATTTCAGTTTTGAGAATCAGTCCTTGCAAGGTTCAAAGGAGCAAGAGAACCTCTGAATACTTTTAATCTAAGAAAGGGAAAAACAAGGAAGAAAAAGACAAGTCAAGCATGTCATCTTCTAGATTGAAAAATGGCAAACATGGTGCAAAGGAATCATTGTCCACAAGACACCAATGCCATCTAGTCCCACACAAAAGAGGACATCGGAAATATTTGTCCCAGGCCAATTGCAAAAGATTGCATCTCACCAGCACCAAATAGTACCACTTCTAGAAATGTATTATTTTCCACCAGTAGAGAAGATAATTAAAATCAAGTCTTGTAGAGCATTGCATTCAACAGCCTTGCAAGTTGCAACAAAAATACAAAGTGGAAGAAACTTATGTACCATCTGTACGAGCTCGATCTGTGAGCACGTTCGTGCTAGACATCCCAGCACTGAGGTCGAATAGGTTGATCATTGCCTTCTTCTGATCATAAACGCGACCTCTGAGCATGGCAACATTGATAGAGAGTCCTGAAAATACTAGTTATGGCAAAAAAGGATATAAGTGCAAGGACATGAAGAAAATGAAACTTTACCAACTACAGTAGGCTTGTACCTGAGATCTATAAAGCCTAAAGAAGTCTAACTGAAAGACAGGAGCATGACAGTTAGCTGGTACCATCCGCTAGCGGAGTGGTGGGTGGATATATAGGTAACCAGAGTTTGAAGAGTTTTGGGGTGCCCCTAGGTCTCAGCATCAATTTTTGAAAAATTTCAAGCCTTAATTTTGAACTCGGGCACGACGTCAGACTCAGAGTATATCGCTGTAGCAAGATGCTGTCCTTTCAGAGAAAACACACATGCCTAAAGCTGGGCTTTTGCAGGCATAGGCCATACAATGTGCAAGGGGAGCAGAGCACAGTTCATGGCCCTCCTGTTGTTTATAGAAACCAAAAGAAAGTTAGCCGCCACGCCCAACGATATGAAACGATGGTGACAGAGCAACAGGCGAGATGGAAAAGTGGAATGTAGCAAAGATCCGGAGGTAAACATAAAGCAAATGCACCGAGCTGAACTAATGAGTACAAAGCTATGATTATGATCAAAAGGAATCTTTCAGCACGAAAAGCCTTTCAAGGCTGTACTTTTTGGGCCAGATACAGTGGTAAACTAAGGTCTTATTTTGTTGGCGAAATATTTTGGGAAATGGCACTGTAGCATTTTCGTTGTTATTTAACAATTAGTGTCAAATCATAGTCTAATTAGGCTTAAAAGATCCGTCTCGTAAATTTCGTCTAAACTGTGTAATTAGTTTTATTTTTTATTTATATTTAATGCTTCATGCATGCGTCAAAGATTTGATGTGACGGAAAATCTTGAAAAATTTTGCAAAATTCTGAGAACTAAACAGTCACTAAACCTCACAGCTCAGAGGTGAGAGAAGGTAAAAGGCACACAGCTTTGTCTTTGTGCTCTATGGGATAAGGATACCAAAGCTCGAGCTAGGTCAGAGCTCAGAGGTGAGTGAGACAACTACAGAACGATGCAGTGGCGACAGTGAGAGTAACGAGATACTAGTGGCACATTTTTTTAAGACCCAATTTTGTTCTCAGCAAATTTAATCGGTGGAAAGACAGAGAGACGATGATAAAAAGACGAGAAGACGTACAAAACTAGGAAGAATGGAAACCAACGAGACGTGTGCTCAAGTCCAAACGAACTCTCCGAAAGCAAAAGGAAAAGGAAACCACTTACCGAAGTCTGCAGTTCTTGCAGAAGTAAAACACCATGAACTCGAAGCTTTCCAAGCAGAAACGCAGCTAAAAACAGGCCAACTCTATGCAGCAATCGAGAGGCACGACTACGAGGACCGCACGGGCAACGGAGGACGGGACACGGGAGGAGGGGAGTTCAGAGCCGGCCAAGGGCCAACCGCGCGATGCAGAGAAACGCCAGAGGGGGGAAGGAATCTTCCAGGTAAATACTAGCTCGAGCATTTAAACTGCAAAGCCTGCGTCTTTCCCGGGCTGGGGCTGCTCGTCAGAGGAGAGGGCGTCGCGGCCTGCAGCTGCAGGGTGACTGACGGAGGGGACGCGCGTTCGAGCAATAAATTCTCGGGCGCGGGAGCGGAAAGCAACGGGAGGAGCCTCGCAAAGGCGGCGCTTTTACGCCGGCACCGATGGGAATTCGGACCTGGCGAACCATAAACTACGCTCAGATCTCCAGATTCTCCTTTTGTGCAGAGATTGGCCCCCAAAATTCGCAGACTGAACCCACAAGCACCGAATGCAGCCTTAAATCTCAGCAGGCGCGTCATCAAAACAGGATTACCCCCATAAGCAATGCAGCACGCAACAAGGCGGCGCATCCAAGACTCGGAAGCACAAATTTTGCGGCGAAAGGTTACCAAAAAAACGGAAGAAAAGATCTAAGGAAGATGGCAAAAAAAAAAGAAAGGGAGGTATATATATATATATATATATATAGAGAGAGAGAGAGAGAGAGAGAGAGAGAGAGAGAGAGAGAGCGACGGAGTGAAACAGGCGGAATTGGGAGGAGCTCACCTGCGGCGAGGAGGGCCGGAGCATTCGCCGGCGCGGCGCGCGACGCGGGACGGAGCAGTGGTGAGCGCTAAGCGACGCGGTGGGAGGTTGGTGTGGAAGGAAGGGGATGGATCGATCGATCTCAGCCCAGCTCTTGTGAACTGTTCCTTTGTTGTTTCTTCCCCGCTAGCTTTGCGGCTTTGCTTGGCTTCCGGTGTCCACCACCACTCTCACCTCGTGGCCCGCGGCGTACGTGCGTTGCGTGCGTGCGTGCGTGCGTGCGGGAAATACCAAACCCGAAAAGTGGTGATGATGGTGGGCGGCGGATGTGGTTGGAGTTGGATTGGCTCTTGGCTGGATGAAGAAGAGTGCACGAGCGACTGGACTGAACTGCAATGCAAGGAAGTGGCATGAATTACGGGACACTGCACGATCAGGCTTGGCAAACTGCTAATCGTATGGGATGAGATGAGACTACCATTGTTTATTCAGTGACATCGCGCAATGTACTCCCAAGTCCCAAATGTATCACGTAATAGTGATTGTGCCTCCGTTTTTTTGGGTGTGTCTATAATTAATTGAGTGAAATCAAGGACCTGTGCACACCATCGTGAATCAAAACCAAGGACCTTTGTTCATCTTCCACCTTGGGTTGATTTTCTTTGTTCAGTTCTAACCTCCCCATGGATTCCTTGTTCCTCTATAATTAGCTGTTAATAATTAGTTTCTTTACATCCAAATAAATCTAACTAATTGTTAGTTAAATACTCAACTAAAAACTATCTCACTAGTTAGTCAGTTAGATCAAACCAGTTAATGTAATAGTTAGCTAACAAATGTTAGCTATAAACTATTAGGTAGCTAACTATTACTAAACATGCAACATTTACATGCACAGGCCTATGTAAATGTGAAATGAAACTATGTAACATGCAAGTCAGCTACTGAAAACAGTGCAATAAAATCTAACACTGGAAATGGTCTAGCTCACCTTTCTTGTTTCTCCTCATTTTTAACATAAAGCCCACTTGCAACAATTTATTATATTTGCTCTGAGGATTTCATCGGTGATCTACTATAACACTTGGGTTGTCCCACGCATTACACAGTTTGTTGTCTTGTTGTACTTTAGTGCAAAAAGAATTTAATAATAGACCGTTGATTGAAATGTTCAGAGGAGAATTGTACTCGTCAATTAGACGAATAATGTTCCATGATTAAAGCCGTGTATCAATTGATGAAAGGTTTAAAAATAGTAAAAGGAATAAGGTCTTCTTTGTTTAAGCACAAGAATCTACGAGAGTACCATATCCTAGTTATGTGGTGATATCTAGATGCTGTTTTAAATTAGAGGAAGAAATTATTTGGTTATATAAAGCTAGGATAAAAAGACAAAAAGAGAATTGGACTCATTACCTACCCATTTATTTAGTTCTCATCGTCCATTTAAGGTCCCATTTAGTGGAACTCAGGCTAACTTTAGCTCTAACTTCTTCGTGTAAAATAAATACTACTTTTGTCCCAAAAAGAATGTAATTATGGGTTGCGTGCTCGCTAAAGTGGTTCGCGTTGACCAAGTTTCTAGTGAATAATATTCACATTTATAGCTCCAAATCAATTTATTGTGAAAATACATTTCGTGCTTGATCTAATGATATTTATTTGATAGCATAAATACTTATACGAAAATTGCATTCTTTATGTGACAAAGATAGTAGTTGTTTCTCTTCTTTTTCAAAATGAAGAGCTGGTGAAGGGTTTTACCGCTTCCGGCTTCTCCACGTACTGTAGCAAGAAGCAAAGATGTGGAGCCATGACAAATGGATCGTAAGCATGATCTCTAGCTCTATTTATCTCTAATATACACGCCCTAAGGTTACACATCAAAATAACGTGCAGGTTTCAAAGCAATATAAACTAGGGAAGGAAACGGAGTAAGCGTACGGATTGCCGAAATGTGCGATAAGGAAAGCGGTTCTCCACCGTGCACATGCGTTTGTTTGTTGGTGCAAAATCCGGACGTGATGGTCCTGGTTATGCGGACGAGAAGCAGCAGGGGCAAATAGAATGACCCATCCAATCAAGCGACGCGATCGATGGCGTTAGGTGGAGCGACTCTGGTTTTTGTTGTGTTGCGTTCGATCTCGTGGCCCTCCGATGCAAGGCTGCAAATCCTCCAATCCTCTTCTTGCGGTTGCGGCTAGCAGGCAGGCAGCAGGCCGAAGAGCGCGCGATCGTGATTTGTGGTAGACAGAACAGAACCCATGCCGGCCATGGAATGGACGGAAGCTTGCCCGGGCCTTGGGTGACTCTCTGCCTCCTGCCCTCCTGGTCTGGCCTCCTTGCAGTCCCTCGGTCTCGTGATGATCTCCAGCCTGGTGAGCCCCGCAACTAATGCAAAAAAAAAAAAAAAAGCAGGTAGCGAGTGATATCGATCGCCAATCGACCGAGACGACGACGGCCTCATCAGCCACACCAGATATGCCGTGTCACTCGATCATGTCATTGCCCGCGCCGCGAGCGGCTGGTCGATCGGGTCAGCGGACAGTAGGCTCCGCTCCGGAGACACGCGGGGGAGTAACCGGTCTGTAACTAACAGCAGCTGCGGCCGCGCGCGAGCTGATCTGAATCTGATGGAAGAGACTGGACTGGAGGGACCTGCCTACCTGCGGCCCTGCGCCCGGGGGTATGGGATGGGGGATGGAACCTACAGCGAGGCACGCTTTGGCGCGTTGCATCGCGTCGCGGTACGTGGGGATGATGGAACAGGCATCGGCCCGGGGCGTGCGGTGTCCCTACTGAACCTGAAGAGAGGACCCGCCCGAGCGCCCGCCCCCCGCTCGGTTCCCATGATCCCATTCGCATCCCGCGGGGGCCTGCCTGCTGGCTCCGCTGCACGCCTGCACCTGCACTACGTACCAGCAGGGACGCCGAGCCGAGCCGGCGAGACGACAAGAGGACGCGCTGC